GACACGGTGTGACACGGCTCCCGGGAGCTCTGCGCCACCAAGGACGGGCAGTGCAGTCCTGGCTTTCCCCGGGCGGGGGCGCGAGCTCCCTCAGGATTGGCGCCATCCGGCTCGCGCCCCCGCGCGCGCTGCGCTGCCCCTGCTGATTGGTGGGGATCCGCGCGGCCCCGCCTGCGCGCATGCGCTCTGCTGCGGCCGGCATTAGTGGCCGCGGGTCGGTGTGTGCGGGCTTGTTGCCTCAGTCGCTGCTGTCGGCTCTGAGCGCCCGGTGCCCGTCGGGGCCATGTCGGGCCGCCCACCGCGGCAAGAGGACGGGGAGAGCGCAGCGCTGCGCCAGAAGGAGGAGCTGAGCCGGCGGGTGAGCGGAGGCGGCCCTGTGGGGCCCTTCGCCGGCGGGCCGGGCCGAGGCGCGGGCGGCCCCCGGAGCCTGTCGCCTCGGGTGCGAGCAGCGTGGGGAAAAGGAGGGCGGGTGCTGTCAGGAACCGGGGCTCCTGTGCCTAGGGTTGCGCTTTCGGGCCCTGAGAGCGTCCTGCGTGTAGCGAGCCCGTGCCGCCTCGCTAATAGCTCGCTTGTCAGATTGGCATTTTGGGACTTGCTGCTTCAAGTTGAGTCTGAAATGTCATGTGAGGTGCAATGAGACTTTTCTCACCGAATCACAAAATATCATGAGTATGAAGGGACCCCCAGTGATCGAGTCCAATTCCTGCCTTGGACAGGGCAGCCCAAGAGTCACACCATGTACCTGAGAGCGTTGACCAAAAGCTATTTGAGTTCTGTCAGGCTGGTGCTGTGAGCACTTCTCTGGGGAGCCTTTTCAGTGCCTGACCACCCTCTGGGTGGAAAAACTTTTCCTGATATCTAATCTAAACCTCCCCTGGCACAGCTCCAGGCTATCCCCTGTTGTACTGTCACTGGTCACCAGGGAGAAGAGATCAGTCTTTGCCCCTCCACTTCCCTCATGAGGAAGTTGTCCACTGCTGTGAGGTCTCCCCTCAGTCTCCTCTAGGCTGTACAAACCTAAGTGCCCTCAGTTGCTCCTCATATGGCTTCCTTGTAATACATACTTCACCTTCATCTGCCCAAAATGTCCCAAGGGATTTCAGCCACAGAGGCTGGAGTTCCTCATCTATCTGCTTCCTCCTCACTGATGCCCATCTCTTTGGTCCGTGTGCAATCTGCTAAGCCCTGTGGAACTGCTTTTGCTCAAAAAAACATCATAGCAACCTTCTGATAGTTGAAGGAGGCCTACAGGGAAGCCAGAAGAGGGGCTTTTCATAAGGAACTGTAGTGGTAGAACAAAGAATTATGGATACAAATTGAAAGAGGGCAAATTTGGGTTAGATACTAGGTATAAATTCTTTACTGTGATGATGGTGAGGCASTGGCACAGGTTGCCCAGAGAAACAAGCTGTGGATGTCCCAACCCTGGAAGYGTTCAAGGCCAGGTTGGATAAGGCCTGGAGCAACYAGATCTAGCRGGAGGTGTCCCTGCCCCATGRCASGGAGRTTGGGACTAGGTGATCTTTAAAGTYCCTTCCAATCCCTTAACATTCTATGATTCTATGAAAAGATTATTTCTGTATGGCCATGTTGCATAGACACAGTGATGCTTTTATTTGCCTGGGAAGCTGCAAAGCTGGGCTGTCACAGAGCTCCAGGTTGTCATTAGTGTTGTGGTAAGTGGCTCGTTTAGTCCATAACAAAGGGTGGCACTGCTGCTTTGCCTTTTGGTATTGTAGACACAAGACACTGACATAGCTGCTGGAAAAGTTTACTTTCAGTGTGCCATATTCAGTTTGGCCTAGCTCGCTCTATGGCCGCTTCTTACTGTTGCACCAGTTCCAGGAGACACCAAGAGAGAACAGAAATCCATATTGTTTGCTTCTAACAAAAAGCATTCAGTGCCTTCTGTTCAGAATTTGTTGTAGGTTTGGCTTTTATTACGAACTTCTGATTACTCTTTAGCATTCACAGCTGCCATTGTAAAAGAAAATGAGAATATTTGCCACATCTATCTGTGCAGAACATAGTAGTAAATCCCACTAAGGAAGTTAATGTAAAAATCCAGAGCAACAGAAAGGCTCCTATTGCTCTTAATACAGTTCTTATATTAAATCTACAGATTTTTACTAATTTCATTTTGAATCTGGAGCATWCCGTGATTATAAARTGTATKCTTRATATTATGCAAAATTTTGTTTTCTRAAGTTATTTGATGTTGCATTAGTTGTGTACATGTTCTTGGGGAAAAATGTGCTCTCTGATTATAAATAGCTACACTGGCTTCCCAGAGGCTTTTGAGGGTAGGAAAAATACCAATGCATGTAAGATAACCTGTTTCTACAGAAGTTAAGTATGTAATTTTTACATTTATTTTGTCTTCAGTGATTCATTTGGAGAACAGCAGCTGTACATGCATGTAGCTGTCTTAAGATATCAGTAGACATGTTCACCACTAGGATTATAATGCAGTCTTGTTTTTGTAATTAAATTCAAATGCATCTTTTGCCTTTCAGATTAAAGAGCAGAAGGTTGTAGTCGATGAGCTTTCTAATTTGAAGAAGAACCGGGTAAGATTTTATAAATTTGCTTTTGACTATTTCATTTTAGCAGAGAAATAAACATAGAGACAAGAGGGGAAACAAAATCAGAGCATGCTGTCTTTAGTTTGTTTTAATACAGGTTTTAGTGCACATGTGGTCTGCTGTTCTCAGAATAATTTGTCCTACAAATGATTTGATTATGTGTGTTTGTGCAGTAAAACACAGTGTGTTGTTGGGGTTTTTTGCTTTTGTTAATGTTTTATTTTGGCTATTTCATTAAGATGTTTGAGCTGATCGCAAGGATTCATGAGGTATTCTTTTTCTGTGCATAAGCTTAAAATAGAATGTGATCCCTCATGAATAAGGAAAAGAGAAATTCAGAATTGTTGAGCATTGCGTGGTTTTGATGGTACAGCATTAGAATGTTGGTTTTGTCAGGGCAGAATTTATCCCTTCATGGCTCCAGAATCTGCTGCTTTCACTTCATACAGTGTTGTTTTTGTTTTACAGAAAGTTTATAAGCAGCAACCCAATAGCAACATATTCTTCCTTGCAGACCGAACAGAAACATTGTCTGAATGCAAAAGTAAGTTTGCAGTGTAAAAGTATATAAAATATTTTAATATTTAAAAGCTGTATTTGTATTTCATGTATAGATATATATATTTCATGTATATTTCAAAGATATATTCAAATTAGAAACTGGTAGCTGTGTGTCAAATACAAAGTAACAGAAGAATGGATAATAGAGGTGGTGATGATGGAACAAGCATTAGAAAAGTATAAATTTAGAATTATAAATTTAATTTTCTGGATTGAACAACTGCTACTTCTCTTTGCTTTGATTTAGGTTCATCTGAATTATACTGATTCTGATTATTACATAGCCAGGAGTTGGTGATTCCCCCATTGCACTATGTCTCTCTTTGGAAGAAAAAAAAAATCATAATCTTTATATAATTCAGAGGAATAAGATACAGTGAGCTTATGTAGCTTGTGGTAGTAATGATAGAACACAAGCATAGCATTTGGTTAATTACTGTTTTATGTTTATCACTGTAATTGAACAAGTGGCTGGAATTACTAATTTCTTAGATATACTCTTAAACTTGTCTACTCATAAACTTTCATGTTTATGAAATTGATTATTTGTATCATTTTCTCTTACACAGATACATTAGATGAATTAAAGAAGGCACATCAGGAGCTGGAGAATTCAGAAAAGGCAAAAATCAAGAAATAGTTACAGTGACTTCCATGCTGCAATGTGTGGAATTTGCTGTGTTGTTACCTTGTGCAGCCAGCTTGCAATTCATGATTTCCTTAACGAAGACATTCTCTGCCACCTGAGAAGAAGAGGACCAGACAGTAGCCAACAGTTGATAAAAGCTGTGTCTGATCTCTCTTATGAATGTCTGTTTTCAGGCCATGTACTTCGCCTGAGGGGACTGGTGACTCCTCAGCCTCTGGAAGATGCCAAAAACAATGTTTTCCTTTGGAATGGAGAAATTTTCAATGGAGTGCATGTAGGAGATCTAGAGAATGATACTGAAGTAATGTTTCATCATCTGGCATCATGCAGCAGTGAAATGGACATTTTGTCACTGTTGTCATCTATTCGGGGTCCCTGGTCTTTTATTTATTACGAAGCTCCCAGACACAGTTTATGGTTTGGTAGAGATTATTTTGGTCGTCGTAGTTTGCTCTGGCAGTTCAGTAATGAGGCTGACAATGCTTTCTGTCTCACATCTGTAAGTGGTTATTCTAAACCAGGCAACCAATGGCAAGAAGTCCCAGCATCTGGAATTTTCAAAATTGATCTCAAAGCTTGTGCAACAACTAAATCTTTGTCTTTAACATTGTTTCCATGGATGTACAGCTGCACAGAGAAATCAGTAGAAGAAACATTCATTAATGTTATTGACCAAGTGTCAAAAGACTTACCAAACCACATAACTCTCATGGTGAATAAATCAAAGCTGTGGCTTAGAGCACCAGTTATCCCCTTAAACAAAACAGTTTCTGAAACCTCAGGTGACTGTCCAGACTCTAATTCTAGCAACATTAATCGTGTGGTCTCTGTAGAAACCCTTCAAGATTTTCTTGCAGAGGAACACAAGAAAACATTAGCTTGTCAGTTTATTGATGTTTTAAATGAAGCAGTCAAGAGACGAGTTCTATGCCTCTTTAGAGCCCAAGACCAGGTAACAAGAGACATTCCAAGCATGTCTCATACGAGAGCACATGTTGCAGTGCTCTTTTCTGGTGGCATTGATTCTATGGTTATTGCAGCCCTGGCTGATAAACACGTGCCTTTGGAGGAGCCAATTGATCTTCTCAACGTAGCTTTCATGATGAAAGAGCAAGCTAAGCATAAGGGTACCACTAAAAGGCCTACCAGCCATGAAGTACAGCTTGATTTGCTTTGTCCTCAAGAAAGCTGTCAAGATCTTGATGCTAACACTGGTGCTCATTTATCTTGCTTTGATGTTCCTGACAGAGTCACTGGTAGGGCAGGACTGAAGGAATTAGAAGCCATTAACCCTTCAAGAACCTGGAACTTTGTGGAAATTAATGTTACACTAGAGGAATTGAAAGAAATGAGAAAACAGCGCATCAATTACTTAATCTACCCACTGGATACAGTCTTGGATGACAGTATTGGCTGTGCAATTTGGTTTGCTTCCAGAGGAGAGGGCTTCATTAGTAACCAAGGAGAACTGAAACCATATAAAAGTCCTGCAAAGGTACTAGTTTTTATAGTTTTGTTTTCTGCCTTGTGTTTGACCTCTGTAAAAACAGTTTTGTTGATTGAGAAATCAGCCGGTATCTTTGCTATTCATAAGGCTTCTGAAATTCAGTGTCAGAATGTAGAATAGTTTTATAATATTTGTGTAATTCAAGAGTTAAAAATCACATTCAGTTCTTCTGTCATGTGCACAGCTTTTCAGTGAACTTGGGTAAGAATCAATGTGAATAGGAAAAAAATAACCACCATCTATCATTTTTTATTCTGATTTCTCACTTCTCTATTTCTGATGGTTTGTGAAGGGAAGAATGAACTGTTTAATTCCAACTGTTGAAGGCACAGTAATGGGCCAGATGTAMTAGTGTTTTTTCTCTTGATAACATTTTACTATACTTACTGAGTAGTATAAGCCATTTTCACTTTGTGTAATGTAGTTGTTACTAACCCAGTAGCTTGTGAATGAATTGTACTCTGGGTGTACATTCAGGTAACTATTTACCACATATGACATACACAAAGTCTTTGGCAATAATTTTTTTTATAAAGGCTGGTATTGAATGAATGCTGTTTATTATAATAGAAACTAAAAAAAGACATTCTTCAAATCTATGTATTTGTATATATATTACATTATTTTGATGTTTGTTCCTTGCTCCACTAGCAACATTTATGAGTACTTTTAGGTCTGTATTTTTATACGTACAACATTATTTTGATGTTTTTTCCTTGCTCCACTAGCAACATTTGTGTGTACTTTTAGGTCTGATTTACAATTAGCATGAGAGTCAGACCTAAAAGTACACGTTTCAAGTGACTTTACTGGGAATTGTTTCAGGCTTTATAAATGTGTAAGGCACATCCCATCATAATACGTAATATTTTTACAAGATGTGTATTAAGATTATTCTCCAGAAGATGTAGTTAACATTTAAGATCTGTTATATATTAACTTGCAGAGACATTAGATTTCTTTTATTTTGTTTCCTTAGGTTGTGCTTACAGGAATTGGAGCAGATGAACAGCTTGCTGGGTATTCTCGACATCGTGTTTGTTTTAGAAAAGATGGCTTAGAGGGTCTTAATAAAGAACTTGAAATGGAGTTGGGTCGCATTTCTTCTCGAAATCTTGGTAGAGATGACAGGATTATCGGTGATCACGGAAAAGAAGCCAGGTATTACTGTTTTAACATGAAGCAAAACTGGTTTTGCCGGTTAGATGCAGTTTTTAACACTCTCAACAAAATCTTAATTGAAACTTCTGTGTGTTTTATTGTCTCTAGTCCTATTGCAATTTTTTTGATGTGTAAAAGTGTTGTGAAGTTTTTTGATTTTGTGAAAAAAGTGGTCTGTATCACACTGTGGAAGAGTTACTTAAGGAAATTTAGCGACTTGATTTCCATCTAGAAGTTTTAAGAAGCAGCAACATACATTGAAATAGGCAGATTCAAGCTGGTTTTATAATTCTAAGTGCAAGTATTCTGCACAACTCAAGTGTTCTGATGTGGACCTTTGGGGACTGTCTCTGGAGAATGACAATGTAACATATAAGCTGGTGTTCCTGTCCACACAATAAAGGCATGATCAATATCCATTGCATTTCTTGCTGTTAAGTCTGAAGAGCTGAAGAATCATTTTGTGTCTACTTTCTCCATACCACCATGAACTTGCAAAAAATTCCTTAGGTGTTGTCCAGGAGCAGAGGCCACTCAGGTGCATGAAACGTTTTTTTCATGTGATTTTTGTGCCTGTGTTTTTCCAAATTGGTTCTTAGCTGCACATTTTCAGTTCACCACAAGAACAGTTGCAGTGTTGGATGTGCAGTGCTATTAATCATGCATGTCATTAGGTATGAATACCTGTAATTCAGAAGATCAGAATTTGTTGTGTCAATCTTTTTGTTTCAAAGTTACAGTGTAGTTTTACAGTCTTTGCATGTGGTAAAGGGGAAAACCAAACTCTTTCTATGAAATTTTCAAAGGGTCTTTCTCCATGTATATTTCTTTCAGGTTTCCTTTCCTTGATGAAGATGTTGTTTCATTCCTCAATTCTCTGCCCGTCTCAGAAAAAGCTGATTTGACTTTACCTCGAGGAATTGGTGAGAAACTGATTCTGCGCCTTGCAGCCAAGCAGTTGGGCCTGACAGCCTCAACTGTTTTGCCAAAAAGGGCTGTACAGTTTGGATCTCGGATTGCAAAACTAGAGAGCAACAGTGAAAAAGCATCTGACACATGCAGCAGACTGAAGTTACTTTCAGTAGAGGAATTGTAGAGCTGTATCTTGAAATGTTGTACTTGTTCTATATGCAAATTCAGTAAATCTTAAGAGTTTTCTTAGAATGTTTGGTCTGTTCTTTTTTACACACTTGGACATAATTATTAATAATCAGAGTTTTACATGTATATGTATACGAGGGACTCACTATGAATGCATCCCATGCTTTTAATTTTTTTGTTGTTTTAATACTGAGAATGCTTAGTTTGGAATAGTAACTGGAATCACTTTGGTGACAGCACACAGCATTGGTTTCTCTGACAGGTGATTTTCAACACTTGTAACCCAAGTACTGTAACTCAATCTAACAGCATTGAAACAGTTTTTATTGAACAACTTATAGTTGCAATTACTTTGTTAAGTTAATTTTTAAGATGCCAACCATCGTATCTTTTTTAATTCTGGCACCTTGATCGAATCTTCTTCAACTCTTTTTGAAATATCAATTCCAAGGGGAGCTCTAGAAAACAAAATAATGTATTTATTAAAAATTAACATTATCATTGCAGTATCACACAGATATACAGCTTTAGAGACCTTTTTTACAATTAGCATGAGAGTCAAAGTATTTCTGTACATTCCTGCACTTATAAAACTGTTACCATTAAAATGGCCTAGCTGAAGCTGTACCTGGAAACATCTTTACTGTGAGGAAATATTTGCATTTGTAGCCTTTCCAAACTCTAGAAACAGAGTTTTGATTTCCAAGCCATCTTCTGGGGATGCTGTTTTACTTAGAATCTGATTTTAGTTGATATTTCATTTTATATCTTGCTGATGAATGCAAAACACACTAGAAATTCACAAGTATCTCTTTTTTATGATAATCTTAAAGTCTACAGCAAGTAAGACTTAGTCTTTTATTCACTGAAATATATACAGCAAATTATTTTTTAAGTAGTTTATAATTTTTCATGGGAAAATAGTAATTTTTTTTTTGTATTGAGACCATCCAAGTATGTTTTCCTGTAAAGGGAAAGGGAAAAAACTTGCAAAAAATCCCAGTTTAAGACCACTGGGTACTTTTGAAATTTAGTATTTTGTTTAGCCTTAAGCCTATGATCTACACAATCATAGTAGGAAAGCTGGTGTTTGAAACATATAGAACTGTTACATGAATGGTAAATTAAGTTTCTGAGACAAAATGAAAATAAATGCCGACTGGGATAATTTGTATTTAACAACCACTTTGAAAAGCAATTTTTAACATTTTTATGTGCTGCAGAGAGACTCCTCAGCAGCTTGTGCCTCTTTTTGGTGTGAACTGCCTCCCCTTTCGCTGCCCACAGTGAGGAAAGAGACTGGGAATGCACAGTCACTCACCTTGGTTCATAGCGGACGCCATCAGTACTGTGCAGAACGCCCAGTCCTGCACGCAGCCTTTCAATGCCATTCCTGAACAAGAAAGCAGTTATGCAAAAACATATGTCACAACCCTGAATACGTGCACRTGGTTCAGTCACCACTAAAAGAGRTTCCTGACTGATCTCAATTTTAAACAACATTACAGGAGCACATGCAAAGAGAAACAACTCTTACCATGCAATCATAACACCATTATCAGTGCAGAGTCTTGGAGGAGGACACAGCAAAGCAAAATCATTTGCATCTGCCAAATTCTGTAGACCTTTTCGGATATACTGATTACTTGCAACTCCTCCTGATACAACCTGATAGCATTTCAAAAAGAAAAAAGGCATTAACTCAAAAGTACTGATGGGTTACACACAACTAGCATCCTGTTTATAAAAGGGTTATCAGTTGAAGTTCAAAGACAGTAATAATTGCTGCATTTGTAGATTAAAACATATCAAAGAAGAGTATGCTAAGTGATCCTATTATGCTAAAAGACTTCCCTGAAACTTGTCAGTCTAATGGAAGGTGTCCCTGTCCATGGCAGGAAGGTTGGAACTGGATGATCTTTAAGGTCCCTTCCAACCTAAACCAGTTYATGGTTCTAATAACTAGAACAGCTGTCAAGTATTGGGGGGCACAGGGTCAAATTACGTGGCCTGAATTGTTATGGGAAGTTAGATTAGATGCTAAGAACATCTCTCTCTAGTTTCAAACCCACCTAAATATTTATATGACTATAGTTCAAACCTGGTATTTTAACTATGATACATGAGATCTTCCTCACCTGTCAAGGGAGAAAGTACAAGGCATCTGCATCTTCAAATGATGTTACAGAGTCAGATATAAAAAGGAGAAAAACATATACCCACCAAAGTGGCATTTTTTGATGGTAAAATGCTGTTTTTGATGCAGAACAGCATGGCTCGATATGTCCTCTGGATAATATGAACAGCCACTGCATGCTGTACAGCAGCAGCAACATCCTTAACACAGGACAGGATCTCACCTTCTTGAATACCTATAGAAGTATATGATCAAAGGGGGGTTCCTGTGTATAGGCCATCAAAAGCTCAGTTTGTATCTCACTGCCTAAAAATACCTTCTTCTTTTTCTTTTTGTACAATGGCGTTATTGACGAGGTTCTGAAGTCCAGAGAAGGAGAAGTTGCAGTTCCGATAGTGCTGCATGGGCAGCCGGAAGGTGAGCAGCTCCTGGTTCCCAGTTTGAGCCAAGTGTTCTATGGCCTTCCCCCCAGCCATGCTGTGGCACTCTGGGTGCTTTCTTAAAGACAGTCTTCGTGCTACCTGAGGAGATGATAAACAGACTTGGGATCAGTTCCTCTCCATCACTGTATTGCAATCCATGGAGCAAAACTCGACACCACAAAATCCAATCCAAATTACAAACAGGGCATGATAAGGATAAGACGTAACATCAGCCCAGCATGATTTTATTTTTCCCTGGAGTATTTAGAAATGCAGTTCTAGAACAATCTGGGAAAACAAAAGGATCAATAATTTTGCAAGAAACATTAATTACTCCATTTTTAAGCGATAGGAAATACACAGACTGCCATACTGTATTATCAGATACAAAGGAAGTTGGTTTCAACTTTTGAAAATCCCCTTTCTGACTCCACACACTTCCCCAATGTTTTAATAAATATGCACAAACATTATTTTAAAACTCTGTGTCTGAGAACAAAGCCATAAGTGACCAATTTTACAGACTGTACTCAGTGACCCAGAAAAAAATTCTGAAAGCCAAACCRTGCTTTCCAAACTGTAAAAAATAAATTTAGTAAGAAATRTTTTAAGRTGCATTGTTTTAAAYRTGRCAGCATCCTTTAAAATACTCTATCMATCTTCTGAAATACAWTTTTTTTGTATAATCAGTATCAATTAAACTTCCAACACCAGTTTTGGTTGACTATTTTATCAAGTACAATGAATGTACATATGTTAAAAGTGATGGCTTGTGTACATTTTTAACAGCCGTGTCTGAAATCTATGGTATTTCAAAATAGAAAAAGAAGTTACACAGAACCCGCATTGAATTGCTGTCCTTAGGCYGGTGATAATACTACCATTATGTAGTATAAATATGCAATGAAAAGAAGRAAACACCTAGGTTCACTTATGTAASGAAATATTACCTTATCCAGCATGTCACCCGGTGCGATATCGATRGACTGTCCGAGCAAAAGGAAATCTGAAATTCCTCGTGCTACTGCCAAGAGACAGTGGCCCCCAGAGATGAGGAGAACTAAGAAGGGAAAGTCCAGGTGATGTGTGAGCCTGATGGTCAGTGCGTGAGCCTCCATGTGATGGATGGGGATGAAGGGCTTCTGGTGCCTGTTGACCAAGCTCAGGCTGTACTTCAGCCCCACGCCCAGGCTTAGAGCRAGCCCGGGTTTCACTGTAGTCGCCACAGCCGCAAGCTCGGCTACAGAAACRCCACTGGCACGAAAAGCCTCTTGTACCACTTGCTCGATGTTTTCTCTGTGAAGCTGCTGTGCCACCACGGGAATTATTCCTCCTGTTCTAGYAAAACCAAGAAATTACAATGCATTGGTATTTCATAAGATATAGAATGCCATAAAAATAGTTTTCAGGCACCTCTTAACCTTGTCATATCCTGCCTGTTTCCTTAGTGCATTCTCAAAAACCTCATTTAGTGTCAGGGGCACTGAAGAGAGCTTAAYTATCACTGGAAGTACAGATAAGGAYGTAACTTGCTCKTTTTTGTACAGATGGTTYTTAAATGTATCTCAGCACTATTCCAAAACTATGTAACTTAATATTCATAACATCAGTTCATGTTCTTAGCAACCAATGCTTATATTTGATTAATTTTTTCCATTTAAAAACTTGACTTTTGGTAGTTTTAAAAATAACGATTTAATCTTTTATTCAAGCTGGAGAAGTGATCTGCCTCCTTCGGCAAGGAAGTACTACTGGAGGAGACTTGTTAAATGCACAGCACCTTTTTCCTTCCCCTTAGTACCATCCCAGGCAGTATGTGTTGTGGCTCAAGCGATACATCTTCACACCTCCCACCACTTACTGAGTTCTATGGACCAGGGAAGACTTCTATATGAATGATATTATAAGTAACAATAACAATAAAATCGTTTTTAAGGCAGAAGCTTTGAGAAAAGGGTATTCTTACTGTAAATGAACTTCCTTCTGACAGTGCAGTGCTTCTCCCAGAACACAGCCAGCTTCATCCACCACAGMAGCGCCGGTGTCGTCACAGCTTGTCTCTATTCCCAAAACCAGTCTGCCAAAACGCTGCTTTCCAGAGTGAGCAGAGCTGCTCCTCAGCCACGCAGCTCGGCCGTGTTTAACTGACCGCAAAAGGCTTCTGGCAATACTGTTCATTGTTTATCATCTACCTGACGTTTATATCTAGAAGAGAACTGTATAATTATTACTGGACGGTTTTAATGTACGTGTTCTGCTCCGATTTTCTGAAGAGGTGGCATTACTTTTAAACTTATGAATGGTCACACATGACCTTTAAGACCTTAAGAAAAAATATTTGGGAGGTAACGTCTTATTTTACCTGAACGACGTGTGAAGAGAGTTCCTGACCACGCTTGCTGGCGGTGCAGCCCTGAGGGAGGTCACAGCCCGCCCGGGGCCCGCAGCAGAAGCGCCCCGTGGGCGAGCGCGGCTGTGCGGGCAGGCAGRGCAGGGCAGGGCAGGGCAGGRCAGGGCAGGTCTGTCCGCTCCCCAGCTTCCCGTCACGGGCTCGGCCCCATCCCCGCCGGCCGTGGGTCCTCGTCCCGCCCCGGCCAGCGGGAGCGGCGGCCGGAACCCCCCGCGCTGTCCCCGGGCCGCGATGCACCGCCACCACCAGCCCCGGCCCGCCCCGCTGCCGCCGCTCGGCTCCGCCCGCCGGGACACGGGGCGGTGCTCCTGCCCAGCGCAGCCGCCGTGCAGAGAGCGGCTGAGAGCACGGAGCCCTTCCCGATCCTCCGCAATCCAAGGGCTTGGTCCAGCTGCCCCGAGGCATCCCGGCCCCGGGACCTGCGGACTCTAAATGTGAACTCCCTGCCTCTCGGCCACAAGGCAGCGACTGTGATGGCCATTATTTAAAAATCAGCCAGTTACCACTTTCTGTTCAAACAACACTTAATTATTTCCAATTACCAAAGAAAATTTGTAACTCATTACTCTTTTCTATGCAGCATCTTTATCGATAGCTAGCCACAAAATTACTGTAGCAAAAAAGAAGTACACCACTGTGGGTTTGTCTTTTTTTTTTATTTTTTTTTCCAGCTCACTGGCTGTCACTGCAACCGAAATGTAAATCAAGTCTTAAATGGAGTCTTCTGTTAAATCTGAGCTGGTTCTGGCTGGCAGATAGACAGAAGACTTCAAAATTCATCCATTTTCCATGACAGAAAAGAGTCTTCAGAGCTGTAGATGTACCTCCTTCACTCTAATTCCAGAGCTGATTATATACAAGATTACCCCGTGCTACACAATACCCCTAAAACACAGCATTCCTCCACATTTCCAAGACATGCAAGTTATACCATTTTCTGCAAAAGCATAGTTAGTCCAGTCCATGTGATTTGCCTACTCACTTCTAGTTCAGCTTCTATCTTACAACTTAACACAGTTTCCTTTATGTGTTCTGACACTTGCTCTGTAACAGAGCAGCTTCTTCTACAATAGCAGCAACCCTTTCCCCACCACCTCACAGRCCTCTCAGCTACTGAAAAATAACCCATTGGTCAATATCAGAGAAAACAGTCTAAAGTCCACACCTAAAAAAAAAAGGCAATTACTCAGGATGTCCCATTTACACATAGAAAAGTCAGTATCCTGGCAAGCAAAATGAAATAATACAACAGTGGAAACTTGTAAAAGTGTACATAAACCAAGCTATGGAGTTGATGTGGAAATCYCCTGAGCTGGCAGTTAAGGACTTTCTTCAGTCATTGTGACCAAAAAAATATTTTTTTTTAAATCACAAGAACAGAGAAGGCAGGAATTATACCATCAATTTATGCTCGCTGTCACAGTACGTACTGTGAGMCAAACTTTTACAATGCAATAACAAGCACAACCACCTACAATCCATACAGCAGAAGCTACCTAATTTCACTTAATCTAAGAATGCAGTCTCACTGCTCCTTGGCATCGAGGATCCTGGATTTATACAKAAAGTTAACACCTGCATTATGGACGATGGGCATTTGTGAAACACTGCTCTCCATTTCAGCTGTTATTTGCACCTTCCTTAMAAGCCACTTCCATCAGCCACACGTACAGTCTTAGTGGGGATTTGGCTTTMGAGCTGGGCCTGCCCAGCTCTTCATGGAAATCTTCCTTCTACAGGTTTCCAATCCACATTGAAGTGTTTGAAGGCATCTTCTCATAAAGGAGATCTTCATCCCAGACAATGCTGMAGGAAGCAGGAATTGTATCTCAGATGTAAAAGCATCTCTTCCTGACTACGATGAGATACTCAGCACAGCAGACTACTCGTTTCCTTCACCCGGGGATTAGCAGTAGCCATGTCAGGGGCGACCAGCATTGAACCTTCTGCTTAGTATTTATTGATGCCAAAAATTCGAACACCATGCAACTGTGGCAGTTTGGGGATCAGCACGGTCAGGAGAGAGGCTGTGTTGAGGATAAAGTGTGTGGGATCATACTTTGTATAGAAACTCGTCAGGAAGTACCTGCAGGAGGAAAGGGAGCAAGCTTAGCTGATGGCAGCCTTGTCTAAAACACATACAAAGCATAGCTGAAAGAAGTGCTTCGGTGATCACTAAGATTTTACTGGCCAATGACATCTATTCCTGTATTAAATATCTCACCTGAGGTTCTAGAATATCTACAGCAAAATTCTGGTCTAAGTCTCTTCTTCATATACTTTATAGGGTGCTAGAAAGCAATTCTTAATTTACTATTTAACTGTAGCACTCCTCCCCACCTTTTTTGGAGGAGTTATATGCATTTTTTCAGTTGCTGTCCTTTATGAGCCAACTTTYTAAACATGGTGCAGGATCTTCCCTCCCCTCTCCCTCTGCCATGTAAGTGGACATGTAAATTTTCTTCAGCAACAAACAGAAAGACTTTTAGAGTCAGATATTAAATATGCATCTGATTTTTCTTAGTTACACAACCACACTTTTGTCAACTGAGACATGTGTGTAAAATTTCTAAGCCTTTTACATAGTTAGTGTAAATAGAAGACAATATGTACAAAGCAAAACTGACACCAGACCCCGTTCACTGAGAACATTCCTAGTTCACAAATTGCAAAATAGTTAATAAATGCTACCACAAAACAAATAGTTTAGATTTTCATATTGATGACTGCACGATCTCTTAAAGAACTTCAAGAACTAACAGTAAGTTTTCCTCACAACATTTCTAATCTTTAAAACTACCCCGTTAATATGGGCTTCAGTATGTGGAGTGTCAAAAGCAGCAGAAGAAAGACGATTTCATGGCCTATAAATACATACTCCCTACTTCTGTGATGTAGAAATAAACAAAGAAGCAAGCAAAAAAAAGACAGAAAATACTTTTAGACTGTGAATTGCAACCCATTTTTTCACAGCTTTTGAAATCATGGCTTTATGATTCAATTCATCCAAAACAAAGCTTTGAACTCACAGAATTATAGGAGAGATTGTGAAGAACTTCCTTGAAGATGTGAATTGTACTCCATAATCCAGTTGTTCCCAGTGTGTTAGTAACCTGGCTTTCCCTTGATCMGGTGTTTCAAAAGGAGTTCCCTTTACCGCATGCAAAAACACATACATTCCCTGGGGAAAAGAAAAAGTGAATAGAGAGGCACTTTCAGCTCTCTTTTGATATAGCTCAAATAAAAATTCAAACTCGACATTCAAGAGGATATTACCCATCCTCAGTCTCTACAGAGAACTATCACTTTCCTAAATAAGGAAGRARATATCTTTTGCCAARTCTTCTTTGCTGGTWATCTCAGAAAGCTGAGTTAGCAAACCTCAATTATGATGTCAACTGCTAGATTATGCATCTCTTTTCCCTAAGCACGGCAGGACCAATAGAGATAGGTGCATTTCTTTAAGTGATGTGAGTACAACAAAATTAGAGCATCCTGGGGAGAGGAGCAGAAAGCAGCTTACAAAATCTTTTGCATACAAAAGTCATCATGTAAATCACACCCCTCTGAGTAACAAATGAATTCAGAGCTGGGGTCAAAGTAGTCCAGTTTTTCCTACTGCTTTCAAGCAAGATTTCTCTAGTGTAGAGCATAATGACAACATTGTATGCTGAAATCATTCTGAGTTCMAATTCACGTAGCTTGGCCAGAAATCCAAGCTAGAAGAAATAGAATGCAAACGTTTCTCTCAAAGAATATAGGTAAGGTGCTGAAATTCAGCATTTTGATACTAACAGATTTATGTAGAAAGATTAGTAGATAGTGTCTGAGAATTAAAAATGTTACGGTTTGTGAATTCAGCATAGCTCTAATAATGTACAGATCACTGTCAAAGCTGGGTGGCATGATGATTTAATGTCTGCAACCTTCCAGCTTAATTAAATGCTGTTAAAAAGAGTATGTAACTATGTAAAGAATTTCTCACATCTTTAGCGCTTAGTGATCACATATCACTATCACTCCTCCTCCTCAAAACAGCCAATCATTTCTGGAAAGGCCAGGCAGAGGTGGTGTTTTGGATAGCAAGATTTCATTGTCCATACAGACTGGCTATTGAAAATAAATACATATGAAGAACAGCTTTTCAAATTGTGTTCTAACAGAGGGTACTCACCAGGTTGTGAATGACATTTGTTAAAGTCCAGGCCACAGGGACACTGAAGAAGGGAATGCTGAGCAGGACAATGTGCAGCATGCCGACTCCCAGCGCGTATGTCAGCCACATTCCACGGCTGTTCATYACCCGAGTGTTCGGATTTACCTCGCTGTGGGCAACTCCTACGTTCATTTTTACCCTGTAAAACAGATCTGTTTGAAGACTGAGACTGCTGTTACARAGGAGTACTTAACATATGCAATTTTCAAACGTGGGAAAAAGCTACTTTAAAGAAGCAGGTCTGGAGAGAACACAGCGCCTAAACCAGGATGTACCTCTTCAAACTATGGTTTATAGAGAAATCAGTACAAAGGGATAGYTGGGAACTGTTTGTTTAAAACAAGTTCAAACAAATAAAACTCACAAGCTTGCTTGCTACAGAAGGGACATTAAAAAAATTAGTAAGCTGTGATGTCAGAAGCTGAAGTTCCACAGCTGTAACAAACCAAGCTAATAACTTTTTCCTCTAAATTAGCTCCTCCATCCATGACAATAGAGTTCTTTTCCACTTCCCACATCAGATAATCTTCCTCCTCTATYTTGTTCATGAATGGTTAGCGAATTCATATACCAATTGCCCAGCCACCTACTTCTAGGAAGAACAATGAAGGCACAATCTACACCTCTTTTTCTTSAAGCAAAGTGAAGATTTCCTGCCCTACCCCTCTGTTAGTTTTCAGACAGACATTTCCATCTTTTAAATACGGCTGAAATTAGATAACAAGTTCAAAAGTTTTCTAAGCAACAAACACATGCAGAGATACACAGGCTAATTTCATATKCTGATATATTCAGGAAATTGACAGAACTTAACCCACACTCTCGTCCTATTGCAGTAAAATTTGTAATGATAATTTAAAATAAAATACTAAACTATTGCTTACTGCAAACTCACTTGATCTCTGGGACCATGTATATTTATTTATTGGACCAGGATGGAGATTGGTTTTTTAGCAATCCTCTGAATCATAACRCAATAGCACTATTTACCCAGCAAAAGCAGCTTGCTTTTGGTAGGAAGTTTGCTTCTGACACTTAGTGGTGGAGAGTGTGTAAAATAAATGCAGAGTAGCCGAGTATTCTGCAATATTAACAGCAGAGGACTGCAAAAAGACACGATGAACCCGAACCGGGGCACCGCCRACATTAATCAGTACCTGTCGCAAGGAACTGCAAGCCTTGCGCTTGCAGGGGACACATTACCTGAGACAGGCGACGTGAGGCTGTTCCTCTCCCGCTGGGATGCAGCACCCGCCGAGCCAGTACCTAGACAAACATCTTGACGTGACCCACCATCCCTTCCCCTCTTCCCCCGCGCTTCCAGCCCGACCCGAGGGGCAGCTCGCCGCACGGCCGCRTTTCCTCTGCCATCCCTCCCTTCCCAGCTCCCTTCCCAGCCCCCCTCCGCCGCCGCCGTCCCCGCCCCGGCCCCGCCGCTGCCTAGGCCGGCCGTGCCCGTGGCCTTCTCTCCGGTGCCGGCCGCCCGTCCCTCCGCCCCCAGCCGCGGCCCCACCTTTCCGCAGCCCCGCGGCCGCCGAGGAGCCGGAGCGGAGCGCGGGCCGCCGGCCGCAGGTAGAGCCCGCGGTGCCCGTGGG